CAACAAACCCCCATGACACAAGTTTACCTGTATAACAAACCTGCATATGCACCCCTGAACTTAAAAGTTAAAAAAAAAGTGGTATGGTATGTAAGAGATGCAGTGGTATGTAAAGTTACATTACTATTAAGTAGTCATTGGAGCTTTTACTCTTTATCACATACATCACCCTTTTTCTATTTACTTTTTGTTGCTTGAATTATGATATAATTTATTTATAGAATTCAAGATTCTATAAATAAATAAAAATTGCATCCTTTATATTTTCTACATTACCCACTTACATATTCTATTTACATTGTCCATGCTGGTTAAGATGATCAATTCTGGAAACAGAGAAACCATATACACATATGAAGTACCGTGATATATTTATGGTGTATATTTGTGTATGCCTTTAACTGTCTATTTACTCAACTGTAAAATGGAGATGGATATAGAATCTACTATACAGAGTTGTATTAAAATTAACATTTTATTACATGTAAAGTACTGTAACATATATAACCTATATTATATGTGTAAGGTATAATATGCATATGTAATATATAGTGTTATATATATTACGTATGACATATACTATATATTACACATATATATTACAGATGCGTATTATAATATATAAAAGTGAGAAGAATTATCCCTTAAAGCAGCATTCAAATACTGACAAGTAGATGTTTAAAAATAGGAAGCTAATCATATTTTAGTTTAATACCATTAAATCTGTGACCTTCACTACTAGCAGAAATAAGTTAGAAACACATTCTGTAGGGTTTTGAATTGTAGGCAGAATGTAATACTAGTAGTAGATAACATTTGTTTTATGGTATAGGTTATAAGGCAGCTCAAATTTTTTAAAGTTTTGATTTAATGATGTAAGCATTAGAAAACTATCAGTTTTGAGCAGGATAGTATTATGGTGAAGATAGTGATAAATAACAATCTGTTTGGCATTGATGAGCAAGAGATTGAAAATAGGGTCGAGAACGGAAATAGATTAGATAATCCAGTGATATACGATGACAAAAGATCTGCAAGATGGAATTGAGAAAAAATGGGAAGCATTGCTCAGGAACAACAAATACATCTTAGTGAAAATTGAGTTTCTAGGGTTTCAAAGTAAACCTTTAAGACTAGGTCCTTCATACATCTATAAATATCTCAGCATTCCTTCAAAGGGAATTAGCTTTCATTTCTATTTGAAAAATAAACATTTAGAGGCCGGGAGCGGTGGCTCATGCCTGTAATCCCAGCACTTTGGGAGGCTGAGGCGGGAGGATCACGAGGTCAGGAGATCGAGACCACCCTGGCTAACACAGTGAAACCCCGTCTCTACTAAAAATACAAAAAATTAGCTGGGCATGGTGGCGGGCGCCTGTAGTCCCAGCTACTCGGGAGGCTGAGGCAGGAGAATGGCGTGAACCTGGTAGGCGGAGCTTGCAGTGAGCTGAGATCGTGCCACTGCACTCCAGCCTGGCGACAGAGCGAGACTCCGTCTCGGAAAAAAAAAAAAAAAAAGAAAGAAAAAAGAAAAAACATTTAAAAAGATTTACGAGCAAACAAATATTTGTTTAAAAATGCACTTAAAATTTTTAATTTAGAACTTTTCTGGTGATTTGAATTTGTTCAATATTAACTAATAGGTACCAGATTTTACCCACATCTATTGCCTTAAACAACTACAAAAATAGATACACGGGGCACGGAAGTTTTTAGAAATTGGACAAGAAAACAGCACAGTACTGTGATTCCTGAAAGAAGGGAAATAAAGTGAGCCCTATGATTTTACCAATTTATTGGTTAGAGGCAGTTTTCATGCTGTTGTGCAGGTATAGACACCGAAACAGAGCCTAGTGGTCTTGCTAAGTTGAAAAGAAAAAAAAAAAAAAATCTGAGCTTGGGGAGGGTGAGCTGGCTAGAATTTGCTAGTGAGATTACTAACAGAAAACTGCACAAAAAGAGTTCCAGAGATTTTTAGAGGGGCCCCTTGAGTCTTTAGCTAAGTGATCTACACATGAGTGAAAAGAAAACTACCTGAGGATCACAGAAAGATTTTCCATAAAGGGGTAGGCAGAATAATTTCTACAATTCATGCAGAATTGAGAGCTGTTCATGGTCCTAGCAGTGGATGTGTAAAGATCATGTAAAACGAAGTGCATCAGATAGAATTATTGAAAGGGTATCACTTTAGTGGTGCAGCATTGGTCTCAGATGGAGGGCTGCTTTTGACACTGTTTTGATGACCTTCTACTCACCCCACTGGTAAAGAAGGGATTTCTCACCCTAAATAGTATAAGATGACTGAACACAGGATACCTAACAATGGACAGAAAGAGCTTGGCAGTTTATTGGTCACATATACTCACAGCATGGGAGTGGATCCTGTGAGGCTCAAAGATATAAAGACAACACTTGAAACTTTAGTTTTTATACTACAGACACACTGTAATAAAGTTTAAAAGAAGACTCAAAATGATACAACTAATTATAAGTAACTTATCTCTTAGATAATTAAAATTTTCCAAGTAACATGCCAAAACAAAACTCAACATTATTTAAAGGAAAAATAACAAAACAGAGCAATTGATAATATAAAATCCACAATGCCCATTACCAATCAAAACTAAAATTAAAATGTTCAGCAAAAGAGCACAAAAATAAGACCGATAACTAACAGAAAAATCAATTAATAGAAATTGGTCCAGAAATAATAGCAATGATGAAATTATCAACAATGTATAAATACTCTTACAAACAAAATTCACATGTTTAACGATGTAGAGCAAAACATAAAATGATAAGAAAAAATAGATATAAAAACATTTCACATGGAACTTTTAGAGGTGAAAAATATAATAACTACAATAAAAAACACCATATGGAATTAAGAACACACTAGACATCATAAAAGAAAAGATTAATTATCTTGAAGACATAGCAATAGAAACTGTATACAATAAAGCAAACAGAGAGAACAAAATCCTGATTTATAAAAAAACCAAAAAGATTCAAGATCCTTGGGACAATATCTACTAGCTAATACATGTATAATTGAAATCTCAGAGGAAAGGGGGTGGAGGGAACTCACTGATCCAGGAAGTTCGGTAAAAATCATTAAGAAAGAATGCCAGGTCACATCATAATCAAATTATAGAAAATCAGAGAAAATCTTAATATCAGTCAGAGAAAAAGTCACATTACAAAGAATAAGTTTAAGAATAACAACAGACTTCTGTTAAGCCAGCAAAGAGTAGAGTAACAGCTTCAAATATTTGAAAGAAAATATGGTCAATATAGAATTCCTTATCCAGTGAAAAGATGTTTCAAATAACAAAGCAAAATAGAACTTTTTTTCAGACTAATAAACCTGAAAAAATTATTGCCAGCAGACATATACAACAGGAAATATTAAACAAACTCCTTTAAGCAGATGAAAAATGATATCAGAAGGAAATTTAAATGTAAACTAATCAATGAAAAGCATCTGAAAGAAAAGATAGATAAAAATGAATATCAGACTTTTAACTCATTTTTTAATTTTTAAAAAAGATGATGTTTTAAGCAAAAATAATATCAATGTGTTGTGAAGTTTAAAGTTCTCAGAAAAAACATTACAAAAATAGTAGAATAAAATATATGACAAGGAACAGGAGGGAGAAACGGAGGCATATAATTATATGGTTGCTAGACTATATACAAGTTTAAAAAATATTATTTGAAGGTGGATTGTGATGTTATTGAGGTATATTGCAAACTCTAAAGCAATCATTGAACAATGAAATAAAAAGGAGTAGATAATAAGTCAATAGTAGAAATAAAATGTAATAAAAATAATACTTAATCCAAAAGAAGGCAGAAAAAAACTAAGTTGCAGAAAAGACAATTAGAAAACAAATACCAAGATGGTAGATTTACATCAATATATACTAATGATTATATTAAATGTAAATAGCCTAACATGCCACATAAAAGGCAGAGATGGTCAGATGGAATTTTGTTTTTCTTCAAGGCAGACTCAACTGTATACTTAATATAAGAAATGAAGTTTAAATAGAAAAGACAAAGCAGATAGATTAAAAGTAAAAGCCTGGGAAAAGATATACCATACATCGGATAATATATACCATGCAAAGGCCAATGAAAGGCATGATGTATAACTTTCACTTTTAGTGAAAATTAAGAAGCAGGGATACCCATGCATATAAGACAAATTTAAAATGTATAAGTATTATGAAATAATAATTTTAATCCATTTTACATAAGGCAACAAGAACAATAATTTCTGAGAGATGGGAAACAAATGGGGCAGCCCTATAATCACCTTAGTTTAATGCCTTGAGAGAATTTCCAGGCCATGAATCATTGAAAGACATTAAATATCAAAGCTCACTCAAAAAGAAATAGGTAATCTGAATACACCTATATTTGTTAAAGAACTTGAAATTGTAGTATTGTAGTTATAAAACTTCCTATAGCAGAGGGGGTAGGGAGTGGGAAAAAAGCAAAAACAAAACAAACAAAAACTTCCCACAAAGATAACTCTAGGCTGATTGCTTACCTGGTGAGCTCTAACAAATATTTAATAGGAAAACAATATCAATTTCACATAGACTGTTTCAAAAATTAATAAATCAGGAATACTTTTCAGTTTGTTCTATGAGGCTACTATTAAACTAACATCAAAACCAGGCAAGGGAATTCCAAGGAAAAAACAAACAAACAAACAAAAAACCAAGAACATCTACTGATTTGTATTTCTCATAAACATTTGTACAAAAATTTCAAACATATTAGCAAATTGAGCACAAAATAGATTGAATGGATAATACATCATAAGCAAGTGGGCTTTATTCCAAAAATATAGGGTTGGTTTAGCAGAAAATATATCAATGTATTCACAATGTTACAAGCTAAAAAAGAAAAATCATATTAAAAAGTTATTGCAGTGAACTTGCAAAATTATCTCTTGTAGCACTTACAAAATCCTCCATCTATTCCAGAAAAAAATTCTCAGCAAAGAAAGAACACGAGGATACTCTCTCAATCTGATAAAGGGAATCTATAAAAGTCTATGGTAAGCATATTTCTTCATTGTAAAAGAACTAATGTTCTCCCTCTAAGGTCAGGAATAAGTCACATGTCTGATCTTCCCAAATTCATCATTGGCAGGAAGGACTTCCTCATAACAGACTTACACATCTGGAGTGAAATTTCCCTATGTATAGCTGTGTGTATGCGCAATGCCTACGTGCATCATGTGCTCAGTGATGGGGTGAAGAGAAAGGTCATACTCGGCATGATTTCTTCCCAGCAGCCAAAGACTACAAAATTTCCATTCTTCTTTTTAATTCAATAACTTTTGGTTAATTTGACAATTTGCAATATGTGATAACTATATTTTGGATCCCAAATTGCACCTAGTATTAACTCAAATTCCATTTAGTATTAATTCAAAATCATTTTGTTTCGACTATTGAAGGGAAGAGAGCCCAGGCTTGGGATCAGGAGTTCTAGTTGGGATCTCAGATCTGCCACGTAGACATGAACCTTATCCCTTTCTAATCTCAGTTTCTCATCCAGTTGAAAAAGGACTAGACTAAAAGGCCCCCAGATTTTTTCTAGCTTCGAGATTTCATATGTATCTAGATTAATATCTCAACATTTAGCATACATCAGAATCACCTGGTGAGTTTGTTAAACGACACATTCCTAACTCCTGTGAGAGAGTCAGGAATTGTAGAGATTTGCATTCTGTAGATCTCAGGTGGAACCAGATGATTACATTTCTAAATAGCTCCCACATCCTAATGATGCTGCTGGTCCTCAGACTGTACTTGGAGTAGCACTGGTTTAAAAACTAAAGATTATACCAGTTGCAATTCTCTTTTAAGATACTAGATGATGTATTTTTCGATTAAAACTAGTTGGAAATACTCTAGTATGGCTAAATGATTTTAAAAGCCCAACATAAGAAATATTTGTGTTTGTATAAAAAGCTAGTATTTGTTGTTTCATCTATCTATCTATCTATCTATCTATCTATCTATCTATCTATCTATCTATAATACTTTAAGTTCTGGGATACATGTGCAGGTTTGTTGCATAGATATACATGTGCCATGGTGGTTTGCTGTACCCATCAACCCGTCATCTACATTAGATATTTCTCCTAATGCTATCCCTCCCATAGTCTCTCACCCCCTGAGAGGTCCCAGTATGTAATGTTCCCCTCCCTGTGTCCATGTGTTCTCATTGTTCGACTCCCACTTATGAGTGAGAACATGTGGTGTGTGGTTTTCTGTTCTTGTATTAGTTTGCTGAGAATGATGGTTTCCAGCTTCATCCATGTCGCTGCAAAGGGCATGAACTCATCCTTTTTTATGGCTGCATAGTATTCCATGGTATATATGTGCCACATTTTCTTTATCCAGTCTATCATTGATTGGCATTTGGGTTGGTTCCAAGTCTTTGCTTTTGTGAACAGTGCTGCAGTGAACATATGTGTGCATGTGTCTTTATAGTAGAATTATTTTTAATCCTTCAGGTATACAACCAGTAATAGGATTGCTGGGTCAAATGGTATTTCTGGCTCTAGATCCTTGAGGAATCACCGCACCGTCTTCCACAATGGTTGAACTAATTTACACTCCCAAAAACAGTGTAAAAGTGTTCCCATTTCTCCACATCCTCTCCAGCATTTGTTGTTTCCTGATTTTTTAATGATCGCCATTCTAACTGGCATGAGATGGTATCTCATGGTGGTTTTGATTTGCATTTCTCTAATGACCAGTGATGATGAGCTTTTTTTTCATGTTTTTTGACTGCATAAATGTCTTCTTTTGATAAGTGTCTGCTCATATCCTTCTCCCACTTTTTAGTGGGGTTGTTTGTTTTTTTTCTTGTAAATTTATTTAAGTTCCTTGTAGATTCTGGATATTAGTCCTTTGTCAGATGGATAGACTACAAAATTTTTCTCCCATTCTATAGTTTGCTTGTTCACTCTGATGGTAGTTTCTTTTGCTGTGCAGAAGCTCTTTAGTTTAATTAGATCCCATTTGTCAATTTTGGCTTTTGTTGCCATTGCTTTTGCTGTTTTAGTCATGAAGTCTTTGCCCATGCCTATGTCCTGAATGGTATTGCCTAGGTTTTCTTCTAGGGTTTTTATGGTTTTAGGTCTTATGTTTAAGTCTTTAATCCATCTTGAGTTAATTTTTGTATAAGGTGTAAGGAAGGGGTCCAGTTTCAGTTTTCTGCATATGTCTAGTCAGTTTTTCCAACATCATTTATAAAATAGGGAATCCTTTCCACATTGCTTGTTTTTGTCAGGTTTGTCAAAGATCAGATGGTTGTAGATGTGTGTCCTTATATCTGAGGCCTCTGTTCTGTTCCATTGGTCTATATATCTGTTTTGGTAGAAGTACCATGCTGTTTGGGTTACTGTAGCCTTGTAGTACAGTTTGAAGTCAGGTGGCGTGATGCCTACAGCTTTGTTCTTTTTGCTTAGGATTGTCTTGGCTATATGGGCTCTTTTTTGGTTCCATATGAAATGTCAAGTTTTTTTTTTTAATTCTGTGAAGAAAGCCAATGATGTCTTGATAAGGATAGCATTGAATCTATAAATTACTTTGGGCAGTATGGCCATTTTCACAATATTGATTCTTTCTATCCATGAGCATGGAATGTTTTCCATTTGTTTGTATCCTCTCTTATTTCCTTGAGCAGCGGTTTGTAGTTCTCCTTGAAAACGTCCTTCACATCCCTTATAAGTTGTATTCCTAGGTATTTTATTATCTTTGTAGCAATTGTGAATGGGAGTTCACTCATGATTTGGCTCTCTGTTTGGTCATTATTGGTGTATAGAAATGCTTGTGATTTTTGCACATTGATTTTGTATCCTGAGATTTACTGAAGTTGCTTATCAGCTTAAGGACATTTTGGGCTGAGATGATGGAGTTTTCTAAATATTCAATCATGTAATCTGCAGACAGAGACAATTTGGCTTTCTCTCTTCCTATTTGAATATGCTTTATATCTTTCTCTTGCTCAATTGCCCTGGCCAGAACTTCCAATACTGTGTTGAATAGGAGTGGTGAGAGAGGACATCCTTGTCTTGCACTGGTTTTCAAAGGCAATGCTTCCAGCTTTTGCCCATTCAGTATGATATTGGCTGTGAGTTTGTCATAAATAACTCTTATTATTTTGAGATATGTTCCATCAATACCTAGTTTATTGAGAGTTTTTAAACATGAAGTGGTGTTGAATTTTATTGAAGGCCTTTTCTGCATCTATTGAGATAATCATATATTTTTCATCATTGTTTCCCTTTATGTGATGGATTACATTTATTGATTTGTGTATATTGAACCAGCCTTGCATCCCAGGGATGAAGCCAACTTGATCGTGGTGGATAAACTTTTTGATGTGCTGCTGAATTGGGTTTGCCAGTATTTTATTGAGGATTTTCACACTGATATTCATCAGTGATATTGGCCTCAAATTCTCTTTTTTTGTTGTGTCTCTGGCAGGTTTGGTATCAGGATGATGCTGGCCTCTTAAAATGAGTTGGGGAGGAGGCTGTCTTTCTCTATTGTTTGGGAAAATTTCAGAAGGAATGGTACCTGCTCTTCTTTGTACTTCTTGTAGAATTTGGATGTGAATGTATCTGGTCCTGGGCTTTCTTTTTTTTTTTTTTTTTGGTTGGTAGGCTGTTAATTACTGCCTGGATTTCAGAACTTGTTATTGGTCTATTCAGGGATTCTGCTTCTTCCTGATTTAGTCTTGGGAGTGTGTACATGTCCAGGAATTTATCCATTTCTTCTAGATTTTCTAGTTTATTTGCATAGAGGTGTTTATAGTATTCTCTGATGGTAGTTTGTATTTCTGTGGTATCAGTGGTGATATCTCCTTTATCATTTTTTATTGTGTCTATTTGATTCTTCTCTCTTTTCTTCTTTATTAGTCTGGCTAGTGGTCTATCTATTTTGTTAATCTTTTCAAAAAAACCATCTCCTGAATTCACTGATGTTTTGAAGGGGTTTTCATGCCTCTGTTTCCTTCATTTCTGCTCTGATCTTAGTTGTTTCTTGTCTTCCACTGGCATTTGAATTTGTTTGCTCTTGCTTTTTTGTTATTTTAATTGTGATGTTAGGGTGTCGATTTTAGATCTTTCCTGCTTTCTCCTGTGGGCATTTAATGCTATAAATTTCCCTGTAAACACTGCCTTAGCTGTGTCCCAGAGACTCTGGTATGTTGTATCTTTGTTCTCATTGATTTCAAATAACTTATCTATTTCTGCCTTAATTTCCTTATTTATCCAGTAGTCATTTGGTAGCAGGTTGTTCAGCTTCCATGTAGGTGTCCAGTTTTTAGTGAGTTTCTTAATCCTGAGTTCTAATTTGGTTGCATTGTGGTCTGAGACACTGTCTCTTTGTAGGTCTCTAAGAACTTGATTTATGAATCTGGGTGCTCCTGTATTGGGTGCATATATATTTATAATAGTTAGCTCTTCTTGTTGCATTGATCCCTTTGCCATTATGTAATGCCCTTCTTTGTCTTTTTTGATCTTTGTTGGTTTAAAGTATGTTTTATCAGAGACTAGGATTTCAACCCCTGCTTACTTTTTTTTTTTTTTTTGCTTTATTTGCTTGGTAAATATTCTTCCATCCCTTTCTTTTGAGCCTATGTCTGTCTTTGCACATGAGCTTGGTCTCCTGAATACAGCACACTGATGGGTCTTGACTCCTTATCCAACTTGCCAGTCTGTGTCTTTTAATGGGGGGATTTCGCCCATTTATATTTAAGGTTAATATTGTTATGTGTGAATTTGATCCTGTCGTTATGATGCTAGCTGGTTATTTTGCCCATTAGTTGATACAGTTTCTTCATAGAGTCAATGATCTTTACAATTTGGTATGTTTTTGCAGTGGCTGGTACCAGTTGTTACTTCCCATAGTTAGTGCTTCCTTCAGGAGCTCTTGTAAGATAGACCTGGTGTTGACAAAATCTCTCAGCATTTGTTGGTCCACAAAGGATTTTATATCTCTTTTGCTTATGAAGCTTATTTTAGCTGGACAT